ATATAAATATTATAATTAATATATGTGCGACTATGGCAAATATTCAATTTTAATCAATTATTTTTCGGAATTCTCTGAATTTCATGCTGCCTTCCGAGTTAGGCAAAAGAATAGAAATACAAGTACATGCCATATATAATACCATTCCATCAGTAATTCACATACGCCACTCTACAAATTGTCTGTGCCAGCTAATACACCCCATTGCCTGCTCTGCCCACATAACCAAGAGATGCGCAACAAACTTTTTCAGCAATCCTTTTACAAAGTTGTCGGCAAATTTTTATGCTGAGAAATTGAGTTTTGCTTAATTAGTCATGGCAGCGCTTGTATGTATATATAGGCAGACATATGTATATGAAAGTTAGCAGGAGTTCAAATATACATATACATATATGCTTATTTATGTATGTATGTATGTGTATGTTTATAACAGTTGCATATATAGACAGGCAATTCTAAATGCTGCCTTATCAGGAATGACATACATTGTGGGCGAGCAGATAAGAAGACACAGCTTCAGCAGGCACTCACTCACGCCCACTCTCTCGCTCTCTCACACATACTCTATGCTACTCTCTCTCACTCTCTCTCCCTCTAGTTAATAAAAGTTTTGGATACGTATCAAGTCTGTAGCTCTCTGGTTCAGCGAGTTGCGCTCGCTTGGCCTACGTGAGAAATTTGAGAATTCTGCTCAGCTGAACGTGGAAAAAAGTATCTTTCGAATATTCCGAAATATGTTAACGTTTACACATCAAACAAAAAACAAAAAAATTGAACTGAACTGCAGATAAGCCCAGCCATGGTTGTCAATACAGCAAACATAAATTTTTGTTGAAAATTTCTCGTATTATTTGCTTGCCGTTTGTTGACAAGCTGAAACAGTTACACAAATACGCACGCACATGCACACACATACAGATACAAATACAGTTACACTTACAGATACAGATACAGCTATACTAACTACACTTACCGTTATATCTACTGGCAGAAGGAGGGCGCGATGTTGTTTTTATATTTTAATCGAAATCCAATCTAAATAGAGCTTAGACTCATCAATTATAGCAAATTGAATGTTATTTTCAGTTGGTTGTTGTTATTTTGTTGTTGTTGTTGTAAGAGTTCAATGAACACTTCGAGGTGAATGCAATTGCAATTGCAATGCATCGATCGAAGCGTGTTTAACTCGTTTGCGGCTCTGACATGTCACGTAATTAACTGTGCCCAGTCTGCCAATAAGTTAGTGTTAGACATATATAGCTATACATATAGAGAAACTACTCCTAACTATACTATACTATACTGTACTATGTCATATAAACGTTTACATATGGAGTAGCGTCGCATGATTATTGCCTTGGTTTCAATTCACTTTGATCATTCATAAAATGCACTCAAATACACTCATGAACGTCCAAATGTCTGTCTGTCTGTCTGCCTTCTGGTCGGCCTTGCGCTCAATGTGTAATTGATATGCAAGCTTTTACATGTACATATATGAATATGTTGCTATCTATATCTACATATGTTAAATAACATAAAAAAAAAAACAAAAACAAATTTTGAGTATATAGTTGGGTTAAAGAAAAACCACTATGAAGAAGTAAATCACATTACATGAAATAAATTACAGCCGTATATATATT